TTTCATTAACTGAGTTGTGCTTGTATAGATATCTCACAACTTCTCCAACTACCATATAAATCTCTTTTCTTGGGAACCGAATGCTACAGGCTGACAGGGAAGAAGAAGAAGAAGAAGAAGAAGAAGAAGAAGAAGAAGAAAATAGTCTAAAATGCTGAAACGTCAGACCCGACCAAGGTTCACAATGTGGTTTCAATATTTCTCCTATCTCTTCTAACAACAGTCGTCTCTTTCTCTCTCTCCCCTTCTTTGTCCCTCTTTCAATCTTTCTTGCCCTTTAATCCTCGTATTTTATCTCCAACCTCTCCTTCTTTCCTTCTCTCTTTCTTTCTTCCAGACGCTGTGGTCGAAGAGGCAAGGTCACACGCTCCACTCTTGGCAATCAGCGGTGTGTGGAGCTTTTGCAGGTGCAGAGGATTATATGTAGCTTTGGGAACCGAGCAGAAGGGGCTCTGTGATGGGGGGGACATGGGAGAAAGGAATAGATAAGTCGACGGTGGACAGTTTAATAAAGAAAGACCAGCAGAGAGATACAGGTTTCCCCGGAGCCACCTGCTCATCAGATCAGTGATATAAAGGAGCGAGGAGAGAATCGGACCGAACTTTATCCGTCTTCTTGCTAAAAAAACAAAAAACAGAAGGAGTCCTAAACTTCCAGGGACCCCGCATTGTTTCCTCAACAGAGGGGTCACATTATCACAGATCTCCAGCACCGGAGCCAGTGGACATCACACCACGGCAGATTTTATGAGTCTGTCTCCGCCTGAATGAGTATCAGGGGAAACGCAGACAACCGGAGGGAAAAGGCAGGAGGGATGAGAGGGGGCCGGGTTTGGGTCTGCGCCCCGGCAGCTGCGCGACCTTCGGAGCACTGGAGCCTGAAGTGGTTTCAGGAAGAGAAAAAGAGAGAGAGAGAGAGAGAAAGAGGGGGTCAGAAGCAGAAAAGGAGTGAAACAGGGTTAGCTAAAAATAGAATGTGTAAGCAAAGAGCACTGAGTTCAAATTAAAAATTTACAACTTCCTCCAACAAAGAAGAGCAACAGATAAAGACTAAAGTCTCGGGTAAAACAGTTTCCGTTTCTTTTTCCTTTTTTCTAATCGGGAAGGTCCAAACTCAGAGATACGGGTCGAAGCGGGATGTAAACTGTCTTATTTTTGCAGATTTTCACAGATGCTAAGTTGAGTGAAACATAATTACGCAGGAAGAAGACAAAATCTCTCACGACTTTTCAGTGACTCTAGGGTGATTCTCGTTATTGTAGAAGAAAGGTCCAGAAAGAAGGACTGGCACTTTGTAAAAGTTATTTAAAAAATAAAACTCGTCTTTTAAAGATTGAAAACAAATCAAACCCTAAATAATCTGTAACACGGCTTAGCTGATATTGATTCATCTATTGGAAATTGCTAAATGTTGCTTCTCTTCCTTCCATCTTCTGCTCAGCCCTCCCGTCACTTGTAGGAAGCGTTGAGTTATCCATATCATCATGGCTACTTCTCTGGGACTGTAACATGTGCCAAGGCAAATTTGCCTCAGTTAGACCAAGAGTAATAGAAAGATCTAGATGGCGGCGCTGATCGGTGAACCTTGCCTGGAACATTTTGCATTGGCTCAGTTTTTGAAATAAGAATCACTGACCAGCTAACCTTGGTTTTATCTGTTCAGGATCATCAGAATTTATTCCTTGGATCACTTTAGTTGAACCTGAGCATTTCCACTGCACTGTTCAAGCTGAAAAACGGCAGTTGTTGCTAGTTTTGAATGACAGTCATGGCAAACGAAAATAGAAATCCCATATAGACAGGATGGTTTGGCAGCCATCCAGTGACATCACTGGAAAGTTTTAAGAAATCAGCCAAGAAGTTGTGAAGCATAATAATAACATAAATGTTGCTAATACAATCAGCGGTGACTTATTTGATTACTTTAGCAACATTTTCAATGTTTCAAGTGAGAAATACTCCATTCAATAGAGCTTCAGTCTTCAACAAAAGGTTTAGGGGTTGAATAAAGTGCAAGTAAGCGATTACATTACTCTGACCTAAGAAATCCACAGAGTGAGTGAAACATAGCAGCTTAGCGTAAGCCTCCAGGACTTGAGCTCTGACTGAAAGAATGTGTCACATCATCCGTCATTGCTCCCAGTCAACACTTTCTACCATGACGAAAACGTAAAACCCGCAACGTAAATCCACATTTCACGACCGGGGCCGTCCACCGAGCCGCTGTCGAACGTCTGCGTCTTTCAGCCCATAACTCTTCCTCGGCTGGACCGGGCCAGACAGGACGGGAAGATTGAGGTTAGCCGCTCGGGGGACGTCGCCGAGCTGCAGGAGGAGGAGAGGAAAAGACAGTTAGGGGAGGACACGGCACCCAGAGGAGCCGAGACGCGGCGCTGCGCCGCCCCACCTGGAAACGGCACACAGGGAGAGGAAGCATCAGGGTGATGAAACGAGACTTTGGTCTACTGGAGGAGGATCAGTTTCGTTCGAACATCTGGGAGCTTAAATATCTGAAATGTTCTTAAAACGTTGAGGTGTGATGAAAGAGCGGCATTGGACAGCAGGCCCGGGACAGGATTTGTGTTCACATCTTTATCGTACTCCCACGTAGAAGACGTCCATCAGTCAGTCCATTAGTGTGTACATCACCTATCCATCTGTCTGTCTGTGTCCTAGATATGTCTTAGGTCTCCTCCCACCAGGCAATTGCCAGAAAACCTCCAAAGGGATCAACGTAGAGCGGCTGATCCTACCTTCCGTGTCTCGGTTACATTGTAGACAGACTGATAAATCTAAAGCTCCGGTTTCTGATGCGACTCTTTCTTCATCGCAACAGACCAGAGTCTGTCCCACAAAACTGCAAACTAGACCCCTGTTCTTCCTACCCATCCTATCATCACTTGTTAACAACTCACCGAGACCCTTCCCTCAACTTGAGGCAGAGACTGTCCTCCCGTTCACAGGGATTACTCCACCGTGTTGCCGCTGGAAACCATGGCATCAGAGGAGCTAACTCTCCTCCCGACAGCTTCACGCTCGGTTCTGAACCGGTCCAGTTCCCTCCCCCGCACCCCGTAACCTTCATGATTTGAAGACGCCAACACAACTACATCATCTGCAAAACATCAAAAAATAAGGCCCTAAGCTTCCCTCTCCGCTCCACGGCTACACCTTGAGATCCTGCCCACTACAAACTCTCTTTCGCTCGTCTGTAATCTCCCAGCCTTTTGAGATACACACAGAGGCATTTTTAATCATCCACAAGATCTCCGCTTGTATCCTCCTCTGACTTATGGCAGATTTGAACTTGGTTTCCTCTCTTCATCCTCGTGAAAACTGACCAAGAAAAAGAATGAGGTCATCGACTGATTTCTTTCCAGCCTTCAACCCCATCGTGGGATTTTTTTCCTATCTAGCCAAATTTAGATCATTTAATAAAGCTCTCCGCGTAGAAGATTTATTTGCTTAGTGCGTTCTTTGACCGTTTTCCAAAAATATCTTAAAAGATGTTACAGTAAATCTGCTTTATTCCCATGTTTATCCGACCGAGGTAGAGAAGTGAAAAACCTTAACGTAACGACAGAGCTCCTGTTTTACGTACACCGTGTCTTGAAAAGTATTCGTGCCGCCTGAACTTTTGCAGATTTCGACACATTACAAAAAAAAAAGAAGGACATTTCAAAGTAAAGTAGTTGACGTCTCTACCAGCTTTACGCATACGGATGTTAAAATTTCCGTCCATTCTTGTTCTTGCTCACGCTCAGTCAGATTAGATGGAGAATGTCTATGAAAATCAGCTATGAAGCAATGGCATAGACTCTCGATTAAATTTAGATCTGGGCTTTGACTGGGCCATTTTATCAACGATTGAAGTATTTCAGTGTATCTCTGTCTTTTTTTTTTTTTTTTTTTTGAGCCCCTTAACCTTTTTTTACTCTTGATCTGCCAAAGTGTGGGATATTATTCTACGATCTGTCCACACTGCTGGACTTCTGACTGCCATGAGTTGCACCAAGTTTGATTTAAGGGGATCAGAGTACAAATGCATGCCACACCATTGAGATTTTCATGCTGTGTGTTGGTTTATTATACTATGCCTCAATGACATCCATCAAAGTTTGTCCTCGTGAAATGACAAAATGAGACGCTGTAGTTTTATGGTGTATTATCAGCATCTTTTACCTATTTTCATAGCTTCTGGAGCTTCCAAGTTCAAGTATTTTGTCATTTTAAACAATCAAAACAATATAAATTGACTTCCTTTTGGCCAGATGAGCGGGAACAGCGGGAAGAAGCTATGCTAACTTGGCTTGAAGTTGGAGTGCAGCTGCTCCCAAAAAGCCGTTATGAGGATGTTTGTGTGTATTTGTGTGTGCATGTTCATGCGTAGATACAAATGTCTCTTTTTTTTATTACGCAGGTGTGAGTTCAAGTCTGTACCTGTGTGCTGGAGAGGCCGCATGTGTGTGTAGCTCAGGGGGAAGGACTGGGTCAGATGAGTTATGTTTAAGAGCAATGCAAAAACACAAACATCTTACCAAGTATTTTATTTTATTTTTGTCTAGTTTCTGGTGCAAATATCTCACTTGAAATAAGACAAAACTAACTTACAAGGAGCTTCTCAGCAAGAAATAGCAACTTGTTTTAAGTCAAAAATCCCTTAATGTTGATAACAAAATATTAGCTTTAAGTGAAATAATCTAACGTTGGAACAAGACATTTTAATTTGTGATATGGAAACAATCTTGCACCGCTGGCAGATTATTTCACTTCTAACTAGAACTTTTTAATCAATATTAAGGAATTATTGACATAAAACAAACACCTAATTTAGAATTAAGACTTTTTATATTAATGAAACTTTCAGGAAATCACTTAAGCAATGGTTACTAGATAATCAAAATTGTACTTATTATATTATTATTTCTAAATTAACAGCTCTTTACATGTTTTTTTTTATGGCTGTGACTTGTTTTATTTTTTATTTTTACTATAAATGTGCACTGTAAAGCTGTACATTGAAATCTGTTATATGTTATAATATAATATGTTCTGCATGTTAATTGTAATTGTTTTGAGTCCTTCCATTAATCTGCCAGGCTACAGATGAAAACGAGCCTCTTTGGCTCATTATAGCAAATCTACGTAATGTATTAATACAATTCACAAAATCATATCAAATTCATATCATGCTGAAAAGTTACTTGTAAGTTAGTTTTTGTCTTATTTCAAGTGTATTAAGATATTTTCTCTAGAAACTAAACCAAAAACAGTTGGTAAGACTTTGTGTTCTTTCAGTGAAGGTGATGGGATGGACTTGGATGAAGATTGTTTTTTTTATTTTTATTTTTTTTATGAACGTTGGAAACCAACAGGCCAAGCGTTCTGGCTCCCTTCGCCTTAAAGTGTCTGCAGTCAAGTAGATTAATTGGTTTTGTGTATTTTCTAGGTATCCGTTTGACTAAACGCGCCTGTCTTTCGTAGGCGCGGTGGCAGCCTTCGTCACCACCCCGCTCGACGTGGCGAAGACCAGGATCATGCTGGCCAAGGTACACGCTCCACACACGCAGACTCGAGCGCGCGCGGCCTCCTCCGGCAGCTGCTTTTAAACACCGCTGTCAGGTGATGCCTCGCAGGCAGGGAGCAGAGCCACGGACTGGGCCCGGAGCCCGAGCGCATTTCTCCGGTGTCAGCGGGGGCAGAGCGAGCCGAGGTAGAACCGGGACAGCGCACATCCATCACCTGCTCGGGTTGGGGGGGAAGAGGGGGGGGGGGTTTGGACAGGGTTTGGGGGGGATGGAGGGAGAGGCGTGTTTGTGTGCATGGTTAGTGTTAAGAGCGAGGACTCGTTCCTGCTACGAGGGAGTTTCCATCGCAGCGCTGCATGTCATGCAGAGGTGAAGCCAAAGCACGCTGGCCCTGCTGTTAACTCCCCCCACCTTCCTCCTCTTCCCATCCTCTGTGTGGTGATATTCCTCCTCTTCCTCACCACCTTTTTCTCTTCTGGCTCTGTCCGACTGCATGTCTGGCTTCTTTCAGGGTGTCCTGCATGCGTTTGTGAGCAGGACATGCGTTTGTGAGCAGGACACCCCCATCTCTCTCTCTCTCTCTCTCTCTCTCTCTCTCTCACGTACACACACACACACACACACACACACACACACACGGACTGTCCTTGGAGAAGACACCGTGTTCCATTTCCACCCCCATCCTAACTAATGAGACTGGAATCAACAAAACAATCGGACAGGCTTGGATCTCTGACGAGAAGCCGTTGGCTGGAGGTGGAACTGCACGGTACAAAAGCTTCCAGTAAACTTTATCTGACAGGCAGCTGCTGTAATCTAACCACCCGCTGAAGGCTCTGCCTGCAGCACAGGTCCAGCTATAACTTTATAAGGCCAAGACTTTAACATTTTTTATTTATTTTTTTTTTTTTGCTTTCCTCTGCAGAAAATTTTATACAGAAGGAAGCAAAGTTTGGAACTTTTTTTGGTCATCAAGGGGAAACCCTCCCCCCCAAAAAAATGATCACATCCTTTTGACTGAATTCAATAATTACTATAATATTCATGTTTTATGATGTAAAATTACCTTCTGATGTCGTTTATTAGACTATTGTTTAATAAGGAAAATGTCGTGAAATTAGATATGGCTTTTTATAACGAACAGGGTTCTTATGTGGTCTGGACTGGAGGTCAGATTTACGGCCCGACCCGAACTCGACCCCAAATTCTGGCTTCCGTGGTGCTTTTAATACGCCTGCAAAACATACAGCACACAGAAAACCCAACGAGAATGCGCAACATAAAGTTGTTATTTTAGTGTAAATACAGGAGTGGATTGTTTAACTTGCTCCACTCAAGCAGCAGCAGCAGCAGGATAGGATCCTATCAGTCACACATCCCAGATGATTTGCACTTGACTCACCCCGATGTTACAACAAACGACAAAATGGAGCTGGAGGACGTCAAACAAAAGCTGAAAATGAGAGAAGTTACACTGCTTACTTGAATTATTTTTTTAACAAAAGCAATAAAATCTTAGGTAAAATAATGTTTAGTTGTTAGTTCTTAATTAAAGTGAAGTAGTTTGGTTGGATCGGGCTCTGACCCACTGCCTCTGGGTTGGGTTAAATATAAACTTTAGTGTGGACAAATCTGGATAGATTTTTAATTTAGTTTTTTTTTCTATTATTTAAAAAAAAACTATTGAAAAAAGAAAATGAATTATAGGGACAGACGCAATGTGGCCTAAAGTATTGGGTCAGCCCTCCAAATCAATGAACTCAGTCATTCCAATCATGGCCACGGCCACAGTTTGGGTCTTATTGTTCCAACATGACTGTGTGCAGGTGCAGAAGCCATTTTGGGATCGTCCAACATCAGAGTGTGACCTCACAAATACTCTGCCGTAAGAATGCACCAAGATTGCAAACCGGTACAATACACAAAGTAATTGAAGCATGGATTATTTTAAAAACGAGGTTGCACAAAGACTGTAGACATAATTTTGTAAGTAAGTTATGTTAAATTATATTTTAATAAACACAAATAAATTGAAAATGTAACTAATCACTTTTCACCAGCCACCTTTTTAGAAGTCAAATTACAGAATCTATTCAAAGCTCCATTTCGAAAGTGTAAATTATTATCCAGAATTTAATTTTTAAAACTGATACACTCCAAATTATTCTAAATAGTCTAAGTGGCGCTACACATCAGCTGCAGTCAACGCAGGTTCAGAGCGGAACAGAACAGAACCGGTGTGGACGGTTTGGATCGGACAAACCTCAGGAAGTCTGGGGGGGCTGGAGCTCGGTTTCCTCGCCACACCGGACAGATAGAAAGGTTCGTGTTGAACAGTTGGCAAAACAGGCAAACATCCAGGGACCCAGCTGGATGTGCGAAAGCCTCCACAGCAGGACTCTGACTACCTGGTTAGCCACAGCGCTGCTGCGGGCGGACCTCCTGCTCCGCTGCCATTCAGTTGCTCTGCTTTCCTGAGACCAGACTCCTGTCATCATCCTAACGCTCCCCACCAGCACAGCAAGGCCGGCTCAGGTCGCAGGGTGCAGGAACAACACTTCAGATAACGTAGAATTCTGAAAACGGATCATAATGAAAATTTTACGTCAGACGACAAAGTTAGCCACGTCAGGAAAATCTCCCCGACCTGGTTTGAATGAAAAATCAGGTCCGTGTCAGTAGTTAGACGGGACCTGTGGGTCCTCTGTGTGTGTGTGTGTGTGTGTGTGTGTGTGTGTGCGTGCGTGTGTGTGGACACCCTGTTCCTCCATTCCCTCGTTCCACCGTTCCATAGCCATAAAGGAAAAGAAAACTTGTCAGGCAGTTTCTCAGCAACCTGTCTCCAACAGAAACACGGGGAGTCTGGGTGTTTTTCCTCTTAACGCGGAGGAGAGAAGGTCCTCCTATCGATGTAACAGATCACATTTTATTGACGAACCTTAATTCCATTATCCTCTGTCTTTTTATTTATTTAAAATAGACAATGTGCATTATTTAAGAAGTGCAGCAGAGGTTAATTTCCATCTTACGTCCTTTGGCAGGTCAATGGTATAAGACAAGATTACAACATTCAATCACATGATATGTGAAATCACAAAATTATGAAGACTGTAAGATGCTTTCTTTCTAATTTTAGTTGCTACCACTGTCTAATTGTGTGTTTTTTTTACTGTGGGATCTTATGGTCTCCCCTGTTTTAATTTTACCTTGTAAAATTGTCCAGTGGAAGGGGCCAGACTATGCAAAAATTGCATCAACTACTAAAATATGAGAAAATGTTATTTTTATTTTCCCAAGACAAATATTTATATTTAGTTTAAACTCTGCAGGGGACGTATAACTTTGACTTGTTTTTCATCTATTCAGACCTTAATTCCTGTGTGACAGATTTAAGGTGTTGATGTTTTGTTTGATGTAAAGTTGGGGGTTCTTACATTATTTCTGTGTAAAATTCATAACAGTTGGTAGTTGTAAATCCTTTATTTGAGCCAAGTTCTCAGAGTCCTGTTCTACAGACAGCCTGATCCCGGCCAGTTCAACTTCTGCATCTATATTTACAGATCTTAAAGGGAACTGTTTACCTAAGATGCAAATGAATGCAAAATGACCAAATGAGAGATCTCAACCTTTACAGCTGACAGTTCTTTAGCAGCCTGCTGTGAGAGAGACGTCAGCAAAATCACTAATATACAAGCGAAAAACAGAGGACCAAATAAGGAACCCTGAGGTACACCAATGTTACTAGCAGCCACTTCAGAAAAACAGCCATCTGTATGAAAAAACTTTTTTTTTTTTGTTCAATACTCAGGTATCATCATTTACTGATCATTTTATCTTAAATTTGTCTCCACCGCCTCTTTCACTTTGACCTCCTGCTGCTCCACTCACTCGGTTGCAGGGATGGATAAATAAAACTCTCTGTCCAGCTCGTCTGCAGAGCGTAAATAACAGCAGCAGATTGATGGATGTGGAGGAGGACCAGGAGAACTTGAGCTAGTTCTCAACAAGTTTTTTTTTTTTTTCCCTCCCTTTTTGGACGGGGCAGTGGTGGTTGCTGGAGGTGACACCTGCACTGACACAGCTGACCCTGACCAGAAAAAGATGTGGGGGGGAGGAGAGGGAAGAGGAGGAGGAGGGTAGCAGCTGAAGGAATCTCCGCCAAGGAAGACTAAACAGGGTGTCTGTCCAAGGAGCAGGAAGGGAGCGAGGCAATCTATCCGTCGTCACACCTCTATTTGCTCTCTGTCCTCCTGCAGGCGGGCTCAGCCACGGCGGGAGGCAACATCCCGATGGTGCTCTGCGACGTGTGGAGGAGCAAAGGCCTTCCAGGGTGAGGATGTCTGTCTTCAGTCTGCTGAAAACGTGATCGACTCTTCAAACAAACAAACAAAGCGGTTTCATCCCACTCATCCTCAGGAAACCTCCCGTTTTTACGTGAATCCATTGAGCTCCTTCCCCTCCTCTCCTCCCCGGCACACAATCGAGTGCGTCGACACAAGAGAGTGGCGTCCCCGGGGGGTAGCGGGCGGGAGGGGGGGGGGATTTACGGCGGCGGCTGAAAAATGAGATGCATAAAAGCTTTTTGCTGCAGACTCACTCTATCGTCCTATTGATTAAGGTGTTAGAAGGGCCAAGTGGACGGGTTTATTTGAGTGTTTTGATGTGTTTATGATACGCACCGGACAAAAGGGGCCAAGTCTAATGGGGCCTCAGAGGGCCGCCTGTGCTAAAACAAACCCTCAGCTGTGGTGAATAATGGGCCACTTGTGTACAAGCCACCATCAGTTAGTCAGGATGCGTCTCAGCTTAATGCTCACGGCGTTTGGGACCGCTCCCCCCTCTTTGTCTCTCTCTCACTCATACACACACACACACACACACACACACACACGCATGTTTGCGTGGCTATCTTTGTGGGGACTTTCCATTGACTTCCATTAATTTCTACAGCCTACACCTAACCTTTACCCTTTTCCTAACCCTACACATCACATACCTAACCCTAACCCTAACCAAAACTCTAAATAGCCCTAAATCTGACCCCTGACCCAAAAACGGGGTTTCCCCACAAGGAGCAAATGGTCCCCACAACGTAGTATATGTCAGGAAAACAGTCCCCACAAGTTATTATAAACAAACACACACACACACATATATATATATGCTGTACTTTCCAGAACTATTCATACAAAATTAGTTTTTTTTTCTCCCCCCACATTTTGTCACATTATGATAAAATCTGAAAGGTGTGGCACGCATTTGGAGTTGGCCATCTTTACTTTGATGCCCCTAAATAAAATTCAGATCAACCACCTGCTTTCACAAGTTAACTATTTTTTTTTCATTCATTTACATTTTAAAATGAACAAACGTTTTGAATCAAAAGGTGTAGTTGGATGAAAAAGTCTTATATAGTCTACGCCTACTCTCAAAAGTCAATTCGCTACACCATAAGCAACTATAAGCAACAAACAAATGCACTGGAATGTCTCTAGCATGTGCTAGAATGGCCTTGTCAAAGTTCAGAGCTAGATCCAATTAAGAATTCGTGGTCAGACAGATGTTTACATGCACTCTTCATCTGATCTGTACTGAGTTTGAGCTAATCCAGACATTTTAACATTTTTGTTGGTGGAAACATAAACCAAAAGTCTTGCAAATGTACTTGTTGCAAAATGTTTTTCAAAAGTATCAATTCTTTTGTCAGATTAAACAAAAAAAAAAAAAAAAAAAATAATTTTTATCCGACATCATTATTATGCTTGTTGGTCTATATTTAAAATTCCCTAAATATCAAATGTAAGGAGATTTGTGGTTATAACAGGAGCGAAATATTGAAGCAGTAGTACTCTCCACTGTTTAGCTTCTTTATGGCTCATTTGCCTGAAGTCTAGCTTTTATGAAAAAAAAAAAAAAAAAAAGTTTTTGCTTTTGTAAGCAGTAAGAACGCTGTCAAACTTCACCAGTAGTCTCAGTTTGGATGCTCCGCTCCACTTGGAGATGTTTGGAGTTTTTCCTCCACTTCCTGTCTTCTCTTTATCCAACTCATACCTGCAGAACATACAACACACGTAACGCTCCACAACACGCCAGGCTCCCCTTTTTTCTGCTTTGTTTCTCAAAGTAAGTCCTTAGAAGACAGATGGACACATTCAATGGAATGCTGTAACAAAGGAAGAAGTGCGTGCGTGCGTGCGTGCGTGCGTGCGTGCGTGCGTGTGGCTGTGAAGTAAAAGGTTAGAAGCTGTTGTTCTCCAGGGCCAAAGGCCTGCTTGTTGCACCGGTGGATGCCTGATACAAATTGCTGGGGCTTTAAAGCTGTAATTATGGTAATAGGCCCAATTGCAGTGTAGTGAAGCTCTAAAGTGCTTCCATGTGTGCGTTAAACCCAAGAGACCCTGGCTTAGCAGGGAGCGCTGCAGCCTCCCTCCCCCTCTCCCGCCCTCCTTAAGCCTCCAACAGTAACCTGCAAAATACCCACGCTGCACCAGGAGTCAAGTCAGGGCTGCAGACTAATGGTCGGCATGACCTGAAGCGTTTTCAGATTTACTGCTTATGCAAAACGAAGGGGAGGATATGCAAATGCACCGAAGCCACCGCACACGGCCTCCTGCAGGCACCAAGTCCTAATTGTACCTTCTTTTTCTTCTTTTCTTATTAAGGTTTTAGATTTTTACTCATTCAGCTTTTTTTCTAATTTAAAGGCTGGAACTTTTCAGAGCAGAGCAGGTAAAAGTCAAGTGAGTTGATAACCAAATCTATGGTTTGTTTTGGGGTCGGGGGGTTGTCAGATATTTTCTGCATCAACTAACTAAATTTAAAAAGCCATGTCAACACAACAGCAGCCATTACTGAAATGTCGGGAGCCTGGTGTACTTCCCTGGAATGTTCTGAAAACCAAAAACATTTATTTTTTTCCCTGTTTTGTACCTCGTACTGAGCCAGGTGGTTAATCCTTTTTGGGTTGTGAGACTGTTAGAAAAAAAAACAAAAAATAACCTTTTGCAAGTTAGTTGTTGTGATTCTGCCATGTTTCTCTTTATAATCTTTGGTTTGGCCTAACACGGCAGCTAAATTATCAAAAAGGATATTGATGGAAGGTTAAGTGGAAGAAAAAACATGCAGGAATCAGTGTTTGTTCATCTGTTGTCCATCTCTGTTTTATTTACTTGGTGACCAATGACGCTTTTCTCGCTGACGTTCAAGGAAAGGTATTATCTTCCAGCTGTAAAGTTCCTGCGTTTGGCACTTATCACCTGCTGCAGTTATGACTTTAAGTTATTGATGAGCTCAATTCACACCTTAGTAATAAATCTAACCCCTGACCCAAAAACAGCGTTCCCCTTTGTGGGGACCAGGCTTCTGTCCCCACAACGTCGTATGTGTCAGGAAAATGGTCCTCACAAGGTAATACAAACAAACGCACGCGCGCGCACACACGTCTGTGAGCTATTTTTAACCCCGACTCCTCAGGGAGAGATGATTGGCCGGCGGGATGCGTCAGAGGCTGGCTGCGCCGCGTCGCCTCCGAGTCGGGCGGTGGGGGGGAATGTTTGAGCTCTGGCTCGGCTCTGACGTCGCCCGGCGGTCCACACAGGTGGGCCCGATCCCAGACAGGAAATGGAAGAGCTGAGACAAAACAACAGCTCGGCGTTTAAAAGTAGTTCACTCCTCGCACTCCTGCCGGGCGTTCCAGTGATCCAGATGACTAAGTGGAAACTTTTTGAGAACTCATTCCTGTGACTCACTTTAAGAAAAAAAACAAAAAAAACAAGCAAAAAAGTGTTGCATATTGTTCCATAATTGGTGTTTAGTACTCCCTCTGGTTGTGACTGTAGTCCCAGAAGATGCTAAATGTGGAGCAACAGTAAGGCGAGCCACGTTTAGGTGTTTTGAAAAAATGGAAATGCAGTGAATGTGAAGGTTTTTATTTTTTATTTTAGCACATTATCTGATCATTTTAAGGCTAAAATGGGGTACAAAAACAGTGTCTGTTACACGGGAGGTTTTACAGTGTTGAGCTTTGGCTGCATCTTGGTCTTTTTGGAGCCAGAAGTGGTTATATTTGGAGAAAAGGCGGAGGCTACAGAGGGATACTTGAAACCCAATTTAGTTTAAAAAAAACAAAAAACGAAGGCAAAAACATCTGAAATATGAAAGTATTTTCAGAAGACCACCCACACGCTGTGGAGAAGGAGCCAATCGAGCTAATGGCACGGCGATGACTCTAAGAAACATATTTGGCTTTTCAAAAGAAAATACGTCTTAATGAAGGTCTATTTACGTGATGAAGTGGGACGGGCGAAAAATGTGAAACGAATGCCAATGTCATTAAAATAAACCGTCTGAGAACAACAAAATTTAATTTGAGCGTTTAAGATTACTGTGTTTTTTTGAAGATTTTTTACTTTGCTGAAAAAAAAAAAACGCTTAATGACATCGGAGGGAAGGGGGCAAAATATTCACGATTTAACCCGATAAAATGGATGTTTCGGCATAATGACACGGCAGCCAAAGTATAAATACAGACGGTCTGTGAAAATTAGTGAACAAGCAGAAACACGAAGACCGAAGAACAATCCAGAAAGTCAAAGCAATTTTTTTGTTGTCGTTTTTTTTTTTTGTTACAAAACTGCAAAGCAACAGGATTGTACATTTCAATGCAAAGTCAGCAATTTATTTTAGAACCCGTACTAGGGAACTCTGGTAACTGTGGAGGAGCTGCAGAGGCCCAGCGCTCAGGTGGGAGAGTCTGTTGGCAACTATTAGTTGCAGTGGCGACTACACTGATGAAACACAAAAACCTTTTTTGTCTGGTTTTTAGAGCAAACGTCTTAGTATACTTAAAAAATAAGACAAAACCAACTTAGAAGTAGCTTTTCAGTAAGAGGTTTGTTTAAATTGATAATTAATAATGATTAAAAAGAAAAACCACTTGATAGACATTTGTCAAGCTGTGAGTGGAAAAAAATCTTCCACTGGAAGTAGTAGTCTACTTTTAGTTTGTTAATATTAAGGAAGCTCCTATATTTAGCCAAAAAAGTAACTTGTAAGTTAGTTTCTGATAAGATTTTGTGTTTTTTGATCCGATATGATCAGGTATGTTTCCTTGGGGGGGGGGGGGGGAAAGGGAAAGGCCTCTCAAAAACG